ATTTTTACACTTTCATAGAGTTTTGACCCCAGTTTGGGGGGTTAACTATTTGCCCATAGCTGGGACCCTAACAGGTACTACCACACCGGGTCAGAGCGGACCTGGGAACACCAGCAATTAAGAGGTGGTTCCACGCACCGCAAAACCTCCTGATCAGAGGCCTTGCTGCTGGACGTACTTTATCGTCTTACCCAGAAGGCGGATGTAGTTTATCGTCTTACCCAGGACAGCGAGGATGATTTGACGCCGTGAACATGGCATATTGAGTGCTATCTATCTATCTATCTATCTATCTATCTATCTATGTATTTGTCATTTTATTTCAATTTACAGCAGAGAGCACGATGAAACAAGACAATCCGAAACTTAAACCTTCCGTTTCGGATTGGCGAAGTGGGAACTTTACTAACCAGAAAAAGAAAAGTCATTTCTCATCACCTGACTACCACTTCCCCCAAATAACAATACAATATCAACGATTTATCTTTTCACGAGAAGCTGCAGTTTTTCGACCCGCCAATCTCTACTTTACTTAAACATTATCAGTTTTCGATAACAGCGTCTGACACCAATTTCTGACATCTGACTAGAGATTAGTAATTCTAAAAGCGAACAAAGAATGTTTCACAGACCGATCGACGCCAATAAAATGGCTTTCAGGGTCAGCGCTTTCATATATTTTACATTTTGCGGAGTTTTTTTTTTTTTTGGTTTTTGGTTTTTTTTTGTTTTGTTTTTATTATCATGTTATCAATATGGGACAATGCAAATCGGCCGAAAAAAAATGGCCGCCTAACAAAAGATGCAACACGTTGCGTTATGTAATGTCATAAAAATGGTGATGTCACTGAACCGAAACGTATTTGATTAAAGGAATTTGTCATTTTTCTATTACACCAAATCTTGAAATTGACAGACGCATACACAAAATAATATATTATATATATATATATATATATATATATATATATATATATATATGATGCATACACAAATAGTATGTATATATATATATATATATATATATATACATACAAAAATAGTATATATATATATATATATATATATATATATATATATATATATATATATAGTGATGGATAAATGGTCGTCTAAATTATGCAAAAATGTAAATAACACTGACATCTCATTTTAACATTTATATTTACCAAAATTACACAAAAATGTCTTGAAATGCTAAAGAGTAAATTTATTCAATAAAGTCACCATTGGCTTCAACCACGGCCCCGGAATCTCCTGCAACTCTTCTGGACTGTCTCCTTGTTTAAGTTGGTGAATGCTGCTATAATCCTTGACTTCGGTTCATCTTTGGTTTTACAAGGAGTTGGTCTCTCGCTCAACTGCGCCCCACACATAATAATCAAGGGGGTTGCAGTCTGGGGGTGTTAGGTGGCCAGATGTAAGGAGTGATATGGTCGCAGAAATTATCTGACAGCCATGACTGGGTTCTCATGCTTGTGTGATATGGTGCAGAGCCCTGTGGCCAGACATAGGGGTTTCCAGCAATAACTCTCTTGATTCGGGGCAGCGCTACCTCCTCAAGGTACTTGATGTAGGGTGTTGAGTCTGAGGCCCACACTAACAAATTCATGAGGTTTTTTCTTATCAGAATGATCATCGTGAGTTTTGCGAGCTTCGTAATCACCATTAGACTCATCCAACTCTTTCCAAATCATCTGCACTGTCCTCAGATTGACACCCAAAAACTCTGAAATGTTCGCATTGGAGCTTCCGGCGCGAATGCCAAGCAGTATAGTATGCCGTTTCCAAATTTATGTCGGAGTGAATTTCTGTCATGGCGCTCTTTTTCTCACAAACGATGCCCAACTGATTCTACTATTTAGTCAACAAAATTAAAATCAACGCGCATGCGCGAAATGAAAAATATAAAATGGCGTCAGTTTACTCACTGCACCCTGCATATATATATATATATATATATATATATATATATATATATATTGCACCCTTCATATATATATATATTGAATCATTTTACCCAAGGAAGACGGGAATATCACTAGTAGTCAGGAAAGAGAATGAGAAAATTGTCTAAAAACAGACAAAAAGAAATAAGGCTCATTTTTTTCTTTCCGAAAAGAAAAATACTACGTTTGTTTCGTTAATACTCGTGACAGAAACAAAAATTCTTAGTCTTCACCCCCAAGCTAACACCAAACACTTGGGGTGCAGGTCCAGCGAAATAAGTTTAACATATGAATTCCTACCGATTATGAACATTTCAGTCTAGAGGGGACTTACAGATACAATCCTGCAATATTATATACCAGGGCTTGTGCAAGGTACTTGTGCCCCCCCGAATCTATGATATGCCTCCCTCCCCCAATCTATGTTACGGTATCCCCACCCACTCTACTGCATCTCAAGTTTCACAAGTTAGTATTCATGTAAAAAACAATTTTTATTGTAACTTTATTATTTACATTAATTTATCATATGCATTATAGGTGAACAACTCAACTAGATAAATTGAAAATAAATACAATGTATGTAAATACAAATTAGATACATGTCCTAATAGATTATTCCATCTGAAATGTTTGTGACAATGTTTTGTGACAATTTTTAACATCATTTGGTAAAATGTTGAATAATTTAACGGATTCAACATTATGGATAAAAACAGGGAATTTTATATCGTGTTTTTTGAAGACTTAACACAAGTAAAACAAATTCAGAGATTTGGACAACAAAAAAAAACAGACTGACGTCAAAATCCATGAAAATTTAGTTTAATTTGTAACGTATCAAAATGATGGTAGACAAAAGCAAATGTTGATAAAATGGCGGAGGTCACAAAACACAGCCCATGGCCTCCAATCAGGTTTAGGCCAACTCCCCGGTCGGGGTAGTATGCACCGGTCCTGCTCTATACTTAGTGCAGGGTTAATAGATTTTGATTGTCAAAAATGAAAAATTGGGCCTCAAATAAAATTACCAAATTGCTAATTTTTTTTATTATTTCAAACTTTTGACATCATTAACCGCTTTTATGAGGAAAACTGCAAAACTATGACAACTTGAATGATCTGGAACCCGACAGTTAATGGAAAAGCTTGATAGATTGTGATTGTCAAAAAATGTAAATGCTATTAACATTGAGCTTCAAATAGAAGTCCCAAAATTCCAGTCTAGTTGGCATGAGAAAAACTCCGCAATTGCTATACCTTATATTACTTTTTTTTTATTTCAAACTTTTGACAGCATTAACCTTTTAAGACCTGCGTTCCTGAACAATTTTAACCCTTCTGCTTGAGCTCTTGAGTCAAAATTCGCAAATAATTGGTATATAATGTTTCACGGTAGATATAAAAATAGTTACAAGTGTTTACCCAACGTTCAACCAGTGGCTGGGCGTTAAGTCCTTTTTCTCTACCACTGTTCAACCGGTGGCTGGGCATTACGTCATTTTTCCCTACCACCGGTTAAGCGGTGGTCAGGCCTCAAAGAGTTAAACTATAAGCTGCAAAAAAATATTATGATTCGAATTAACTGGAACCCAACTAAAAAGATTTACAAAACTGAATGTTTAAGAGAGGGACTGAAATGTTTTGTTTCTCCAAGATCAAGTTTCTCTTAACAAATTGACCCCAAACATGCACCATGATTTGAATTTATAGCCGACGAGAAAAATAAAATTGCGATTTTTTTATCATTTCTCCCCAAGCAAGGCAATAACGTCACTAAGACGCAAAGGGTTACTGTGAGTGAAAGAGAGAAGACTTTAGAAAAAGGGACCGGAAACCCTACCCTGAACAGGAAACGTGGAATAAACCTCCACACCTGCTCAAAAGACCAAAGATGAGTTTGAATCGGATGATAGGCGAATTTATCTACTCTCATTGATAAAAAATTTAAACCATTTGCGTCTTAAAAAACAAATAGTGTATAGAATTTCAGAGTTTAAGCGATGACGTCAGAATTATAGAATTGAAGTGGACTTTAGAAGGAAACCCAATCTTAAACGGGAAACAAGGGATAAACCTCTAATCTTATTCAAAAAACCGCGGTGGATGTAAACCGCGTGATAGGCGAACCTATCTGCTCCTATTAATGTTTTTTTTTGTTTGTTTTGTATGTTTGTTTAGGTCTCTGTACATTAAAATTATAAACGCTAGCTTTTCTTGGGATATTAAAGAAAAGGTCCCCTGAAACCCCGCTTTAAATGGCTAAAATGAGAAAGGTTCAGCTTACGCTTTAGATGAAAATGCAGCATTACTCGAATCCCTGGTTTAAAGTTGGGCTCGAACTCTGATCTCCGACATTGATGTGAGAGAGGTTAAAAATTAATTCAACCGAGTCTTATATACTTTATATTATTTAATGGGCATTAAAAAAAAAGACTGAATTGGATTGGAAATATTATATTTCGTTTATCTTCCAATCGGGTGGTCCTCCATAAATTGAAAATCAATAATCTATTCCAGTTAAAAAGTTAGACGTTCAAATACTACAATTTCAGTTAGTAAGTTCCATGACCTTTTCTGTTCTCTAAAACTGATTACAATCAATGTTATATTTAATGGATACACGTAGTTCGAACAGGCATCCCTGTTTTTTAAACAGTGAGACGAATACCTACCGGCCAAGAAATCGAAAGTCTTATTAAAGAAAATGTGGCTCTTGACAATAATAGAAACTGTATCTCCTTTTTAATCCTAAAGATTGATTCATTCATTCATTTTATACGGCTTATCAACCCCTTGCAGGTTATTTAAAGCCAGAAAACATTTTTAGATCATTTTTTTTATTTTTTTACTTTTTTTAATAACAGTGTTTTAGTGATAAAAGTTTTACCAATTCACCCATAGATGGGCGGAGAAGAGGTGGATTCATACATTTTCCAAGGGCAGCTGTGCGCAAAAGAATATAACAAACCCAACTGAAATTAGAACTCTGCTCTCCGATTAACAATTCCGTGCTATTATCTATTACACCACCCGCACATCCAAGCGTACCGTATTTTCGCCCATCTAGCTACTGACCAGGCTCGACGTTGCTTAACTTCGGTGATCGTACGGGAACCGGTGTTTCAACGCTATATGTCCCTAAAGCAAAATCCGAATGATCACCTTTAAGCCAAGTGTGCTTTAATTTCATTGTTTAAAAATAGAGAGATATCTACTCAAACCCATGTACCCATGAAAAATAACATTTAAAGAACCTATACTGGCAGCATGCTCATAGAGAACGAGTCCAGCAGATATACAAAAATAGGAAAGGGGTGTAAGGCACGGATGTGTCTTCTCACCGGACTTATACAACCTATACAGCGAGACAAATCTAAGAGAACTGGAAATCCTACCGGGATTCATCACGAGCGGCCACAATCTTAACAACAAAAGATATGCAGATGACACAGTACTGATAGCAGATACGGAAAAGAAATTACAAAACCTCCAAGAGAAGATAGCGAAGGAGAGCGAGAAGAAAGGACTAAGCATAAACTAAAAGAAGACAGAATGAATGGTCATCAGTAAAAAGATGAGCCCGAAATGCGGGGACAGTGAAATCAAGCAGGTGTAGAAATTTAAATACCTGGGAAGTGTTCTGACAGAGGACGGTAAGTGCGACACTGAGATCTGTAGGCGTATTGGGATGGCCAAAGACGCATTCCTAAAGCTAAGCAGAGTATTACGAGACAGGAGGATTTCTTTAGTAACAAAGAAAAGATTACTGAGCTGCTACGTGACATCTGTCCTCCTTTACGGCAGCGAATGTTGGACGGTCTCTTCAAAGATGAAGAGGAGACTCGAGGCAAGGGAGGTGTGGTTCTAAAAAAGGATGCTGAGGATATCATAGACCGAACATGTGAGCAACGATGAGGTTTTGGAGAGGATGCAAACAAGGAGTAACCTTATGCTTAACATCAGGAAGAGGCAGCTGAAATTTCTGGGACACGTAAGGAGAATGGAGAATCTGATACTCACAGGTCGAACAGATGGGAAAAGAGACAAGGGAAAACAACGCGTGATATACCTGGCGGGCTTAAGCAAGTGGATGGTAGAACATGGCCTGGGAGAAGTAGCAAAAAGACAAAACTTATTGAGAGCAACAATAGATATGGGAAAATGGAGAGCCATAATCGCCTATGTCCTGAAGGCACACTGCACATAAAAAGAAAAAAAAAGAAAGTAAGAAGTAATAATGTTGGGTTGATAAAAATCCATTGTTCTTAAAATGATTTCGTTCTGTGAACATATATTGTTTGCGAATTATTCTAACGTCTAACGACTATCCTCGCTGTTATGGTTTTTCTCGCCTTTTTCCACACGAAAATAGGAAATAAAAGAGCAAAGAAAATAACTGTATTGTACGAAAACTTGGATTTGATTTTATGGATTTAACTGTAAATATCATCGCTATAACTATAAGAACACCGCTAACAGTAAGGAATCTTTTTCACATCCTAAAATTGGCGCAATGCAATCTTCTTGCCCACATTTTAACTTGTATAAGCTAGGTACACATCAAGACGGAATAAATGCTCCCCTATCTCAGCCACGAATCAAACAATGCTTTTGCTTATTTCTTCATCTTTTTAAAGATTCTTACTTACGTTTATTCGTCTGCATTTTAATTAATTTTACAATTATTTTCGTGTTCTAAATGTGCTTGAAGAATGACATATGCCTGCTCATTGGCGGCCAAAAAAATCTTAGTGTTTTATTTCATGATCAGAGCAAAGGAGAAAAGGCGAAAAAAACAAGAAAGCGAATTACTTATACAATCGCGCCACTTGACTATCAAAAGAAAAAAGAAACATTGTGGAAGATAAAAAAAAAATATCACAAAAAATAAATTGCTGATACGAAGAAAAAGTTTGGAAGATGTTTTCCCATTAGATATTTGTATATCTAAATTGACTTAACACGATAAGCGAATTATTTTGGTTGTTTTTTTTTCAGGTGATTAGCATTCAGCATTTATCACAGAGATATTTTGTCTCTTAATACATACATACATGTCTGAGTGCGTGTGTGTGTGTTTGCATATAAATACATATATATATATATCTATATATATATATATATATATATATATATATATATATATATATACAAAGGGTTACGATTACTTAAAAGTTCTTAGCTCGACCAAAAAAGTCATTCACCCAAAAGTTCTTTTCCTAAAAGTCATTCACCCAAAAGTCCTTCACCCAAAAGTCCTTCACCCAAAAGTTCTTCACCCAAAAGTCATTCACCAAAAGTCATTCACCTAAAAGTTCTTTAACAAAAGTCATTCACCCAAAATTCCTTCACCCAAAGTCATTCACCCAAAAGTCCTTCACCCAAAAGTCCTTCACCCAAAAGTTCTTTACACAAAAGTCCTTCACCCAAAAGTCATTCACCCAAAAGTCATTCACCTAAAAGTTCTTTAACAAAAGTCATTCACCCAAAATTCCTTCACCCAAAAGTCATTCACCCAAAAGTCATTCACCCAAAAGTTCTTTACCGTAAAGGCCTTCACCTAAAAGTTCTTTAACAAAAGTCATTCACCCAAAAGTCCTTCACCCAAAAGTCCTTCACACAAAAGGTCTTTACCCAAAAGTCATTCACCCAAAAGTTCTTTACACAAAAGTCCTTCACCCAAAAGTCATTCACCCAAAAGTCATTCACCCTAATGTCCTTCACCCAAAATTCCTTCACCCAAAAGTCTTTCACCCAAAAGTCATTCACCCAAAAGTTCTTTACCCAAAAGTCCTTCACTCCAAAGTTCTTTACCGAAAAATGCCTTCACCCAACAGTTCTGATGTTTGATCGTTTGGGCAAAGTACCAAAGTACTTGGGAAAGTGAGGTGGGCCAAGGAATTTTCAGCTCCCATTTCATATATGATTCCTACAAAGAATTGAATAAAAGGTTCTCATTTGCATAGGCATAAATAGTGTTTATTATTCTTACAATCATGCGAAAGCTATGCCAGAATGTTCGTCGAGAAAGGATCGCTCTCGGCTGGGCCCATGGGAGAGAAAATCTGATGTCATGAAGACCCAAAACCTTCTATAATCCCATCATTCAATTCCACTTTTTTTTTCGAAAGGAGTGTTTGGTGTATTAATTTTGGATTGGTGAATGAATGTCTATGTGTATTGATTCTCTTTTTAAATTCTCCTGCATAAATGCCGACGTAAATATTGTGGTTTGTCGTATTTTCTTCAGGGGTAACGGTTGCCTGGTATACTACCCTAGTGGATCTACACTTGTCCTCTACTGGGCAGTTTTCCTTAATTCGACAATTATGGAGGGTTCCCCATGTTAGATTTACTTTTTTCCCATGGAATTTAGTTAAAATGTAATTGTTATGGAAATTAATAATTTGGCACATATTACCAGTGAAGGAGTAGCTAATTTTGATTGACTTCCTGTTGAATATCTTATTTAGAGGATTTTTTTTGTTGATGTGTTTAGTAATTAAGTTTAGGAAATACTGTCCGATGTTGATACTTGACAGTTTGCAGAATGGCGTGGCGGTTGAACCAAGTGATTTTTCTTTTCCTATTTTTACATCTACATTCCACTTTTCGTGTATCGGTATTACTAATGGTGGTTACGTAAGACAGCTTACTTTTGAAACCACTTTTTTTGGAGGGCCTTTTCATATAGTTCTTTATTCAAGAAACATACACACACACACACGTGTGTGTGTGTGTGTGTGTGTGTGTGTGTGTGTGTGTGTGTGTGTGTGTGTGTGTGTGTGTGTGTGATGGACTCTCCCGTCGTTTTCGGCGTATGAGTGTCTTTCAGTTCAGCTTTTATGTTTATGTTTCGTATGAGACAAAAATTCTGCACAGGATTTGCATACAAATCCACACGAAGGGCAGACTGAAGGGTTGACCGTCATATGGGCTGATGTATTAACCCGAGATTTAATGCTGCTTCTTAATTCTCTCAGATGATTGAGACGATTCTTTTCAAAGTTAGTTATACCTCGGTGACAGGTGTTTCTGCAGTTTGTTTGGTTTTCAACAGCAAGTTCAAACTCCTCTAGAGGGACGTTTGCAGCATTTAAATTGTATTTAAGTTTATCCTTGAAACCTAACCAACTCCAGTCTACATTATACTTACCATGAAGAAATTGGCTATACATGAGGATTTTTGGCATCCGATCATGAACTCATTCTAATGACATGACCAGCCCATCTGAAAACTGCGTCAGAAAGGATTCAATACCACCGACACTACATTTGATGAAAAGATCAGGGTTAGAGATTTTGTCCCGCCGTATATAAATGCATATTGAGCGAAGACAGCATTTATGAAAAGCGGCAAGTTGATTGATGTTCGTCCTGTATGGCGTCCATGATTCTGATCCATAAAGAAGTGTGGTGAGAATGACTGCTCGATAGACACTAATTTTCGTTTTTAGTGAAATCACACGAACATCACATAGGCGACGCTGAAGCTTCCCAAAGGAAATGATTGCTTTTGATATTTGGTTAACTATCTCGCCATCCAAAGAGGCATTTGAATTGACTTTGCTTCCTAAGTACGAGAATGATTTCACATACTTCAGGTTGTTGTTGCCAACAATAATATCTAAATATATTTTAATAGATGAATATTTTTAAAATTTGATCAATTATAGTTTAGGATGGGCGTATGTGCTGTACATCTTCAAAAAATATGAGAAAATAGTTTTTTTTTGCGGGGGGGGGTTGTTTGCTGTTGTTGTTATTGTTTTTATCCAGTATATGTTAATGATCTCAATGCGAGAATCACCAATCATTTGCTTGAGATATCTGATAAAGATTTTTATTACCTCTGCGCCATCATTTTCTTTTTTTATCCCTTGCTATAAGTGGTGTGAACTCTTTTTGACTATCTTACTAGTCTCTTAATAGGCATGTATATGCGAGAATATAAGATGAAAAGTATTAATAATAATAACTATTTCTCAGTTTGTGGGCTTGATAACTGGTAATTTACCAAGCACACGTACTGAAATATTGTGTTAGCCCAAAATGCAGATTCTGTGATAAATATCCAGAAACAATTGACCGTCTTGTATCAGGTTGCTGAACGGTATTGGCACCCCACTG